AAGTATTAGTAGCAGTCGTGGAGATGGCAGTGGCATGAGTGGGGAATCCTTTGGTGGGAACTCCCTTTCTCATGAACTGCGAAGTCAACTTGTTGTTGGACCTAGTGGTAGGAGATACTTCGTGTTTGGAGCGGGACATTCCTGTATCGGTAACAGCGCGTCGTAACGCGCTCGATGTCGACTGAGAATGGTTCGATCGATTTCCGCCACGATTTCTCCTGCCTTCGGTTGAACCCGATGTAGCTGTACGTTTTATACCACTCGGCCTTGGAGAACTGGTAGATGTACCACCAGAATTTGTGGCTCCCAAAACTTGGGCCTTTCCTGTCATTGTTTCTTCGAGTCCCGATTCTTTGTTACCTTTGCTTCCACCTCCCTTACCGTTACTACCAGTAGAATTGACCTTTCTCATCTTGAATCGTCTGCTGCCAGTACTGCTAGTACTCAGGCTGCTTCTTCTAGTAAATGGTCTTCCACTACTAGTGTTGCTGGAATGGCTACTCTGACTTGTCCTTGTTGTTCTCACGAAAGGTTCCTGACTCACGGTAAGCTCAGCTTTGGCTACTTCAAAGTCTTTGTTACCGCCAGATTGATAATTTGAATCCCAGAATTCCACCTCTTTCGCCAACTTGCGTTCCACACTGCTTTCAGTGGTGCGAGTGGCACTGCTTCTAGTCTTTCCTCTCCTCCCCTCTGTTTCTGGTTGCTTACCACTACTACTAGCAGTAGTAGATGGTGTTGTAGTAGTAGATGTAATAGATGCAACTCTCCGCTGTTGTCTATCGCTGTTGATGATATCAGCAGCCTCTTTGTTTGCTTCTGAGAGGCTGGGAGTGCAAGAGTGCCGATTCGTCATGGTGCTGCGAACTCTTCAAGTCTTCACATTCACCGGGTGGCTGACAAATTTATTTTCATCAAATTATGAAGCATTTCGAACCGATCTCTAAGCATTCTGCAACAACACGATCCACTATGGACTTATGTGTGACCGGGCACCATGCAGTCTTTTATTAAGCATCCGGTGAAGGAGGTTTTCAGACGCTTAAAGCCTAATTAATTATGGCCATCCCGCAGCTGGTACAGCTACCTGGTAGCTAGGAAGTACTCTACTAAGTACTGGTATACTGGTATGGTACAGGCTTTATTTTGATAGTGCACCCACAAGTTGAATGGTTAACACTTTTTTTAACACTTACTTACTTGCAAAATTGGAGTGGCGATCTCAAGAAGGACTTTCGTCACCTTTGCTATAAACCGTTCAAACTCTCCAGCAAGTGCACAGTTGTACCAATACATGTAGACTATAATTAGTATCAAATCACGACAAAGCAATATGATAGGTAGTTATACTCAGGGTCCCACACATTCTTATTGTATTCGCGTTGCTCAAGAAGGTGGCTGCTCCTTTAACTCTTACTCCAGTACATGACATGTATTTCCAAGAAACAATGGGACGTCATCCACTTTTGGATTGCATGGTTACCAGTTTGGGGCAGGTAGCCAAGAGCAAGTGGGATGAGACGATGGCACAGGTTAGGTAAGTCTTTCGTCGCTGATGGCCGACGTTGTTGTGATTGGAATGATGACTGATCCAACCTTACGACTTGACTTACTTGTTCCTTTGCCTCATTGCCTGCATGTTGCATGGAGTTGCGGGGAATTGTGCTCTTGAAGCAGTTCCTTTTGTTTGGCAAACAGCAAGTCTGTGACGGAGCTCATGACGGTAATAGCCCTATCCCGGCCCCGCACATTTATTTGATCACTGGCGATTGGGATGCGTTTGGATCCTTCCACGGTGCCCATCGAGCGATCGACACCACGATCATTCCACAGAATTCCCGCAAGGCCTGGCCCGCAATCAATGCATGGAAAGTAGTTGCTTTGCTTGGCTGTAGTTATAAAAAACGAACCTGGTTACTTAGGGGACCGAGGGCGCAAGCCCGATGGTAAAGGCCGGGACCCGAGGTCGGAGGTCCTCTAAGTAACTGACCGAGGGCTTAAGGAGGGCGAAGCCCGCCAGCCCGATGGTCAGTTACTTAGAGCGACCGGAGACCGATGGGGCACAGCCGCCCCTAAGTAGCCGGTTCGTTTTGTTAGGAACGATAACGGCTGGTTTGTATTTGTAACCGCCGGTCTGTGTAGACCTCTGTAGAGGAGTACCACAGAACCAGGTCACAAATACAAAACCTGCCGGTTCGTTCCGGTAGCTGCACATCATCATCATGTCATCCTCGTCTGGAAGTGAAACGATCGAGGAACAGAAATAAACCACTAGCTAGACTACTCTGAGTACAGCCAGATTCGTTTTGATATGATTGCCAAGAATCAAAACAGAGTGCCAGAGAAACTCTAGCTAGCTAGGGTTACAGCCGGTTTCATCATCCTTTGACTCACTCCGCTCTCGGACTGGCTGCCTGCAGTACAACAATCTCTGGCAACCGAATCGAATCTGATACCGTAGTAGGCTCAGAAAGGAAAGATACCACACATTGAACCTCCAAGGCCAAGGTCGCCTTCAAGTGCTCCTATGGAGCCTTTCCATTGTCATTGCAGTAGCCAGAGGAACTCGGCTGAATGCTCAAGGCGGGGAGAGAGATTTGTTGGCTACTCTAGAAGAAACAGACCAAAACAAACATGAGTTCCTGCGCAAGCTAGAAGAAGATGACCAGCGCCGAGTTAGTGGCTCCCTTGGGGCACGCTGTGATGATGATGAACAGGATCCCTGCTTTCCCAACCTGGACTGCACCAATCTGGGGATTCCTCTTGGCAAGCGTTGTGTCCCAGTCAGCTGTGTTGCAAAGGAAATGGAGCTCTTTCAACAGAATTATGACATGGAAGCATACCAAGCCTCCCTCTTTGCAGAAGTAGGGATGAATGAAACAGAGATCCTGGAGGAAACAAAAATGCAAGCAGAAGGAAACTCTTCATTGTTTTCCCTTAGGGAAAGGTTTCACACATTTGCTGCCACTGCTAACCAGACTGCCTTGATGCAAATTATGCAAAGCCGTCAAGAAACAAAGCTAGCAATTTGCTGTGGATGTTGGTTTAATTCCCTGTGTTTATTGGATGGCAGAGATTGATATTCCTGTTTTGATGTTCCCATACTCTTTTTCCATAAGCATTGGAGCCGGTGGTGTGCTTCTACTTGAACTTGGACCCCTCTTTGGGTTCCTTGGGATTGGCCTCAGTGCTGGCCTTGGAGGTTCAATGTGTGCTGTCTTTCCTGCCTGAGCCTATCTATTGCCAAAGATTGTACAGTCTGAGATATTGAGTCAAAGGATGAACGGGCACCAAAGAGTTTCTCTATTTACAGATTGCCTTGCTGGTTGTTGCAGTGCCTGACAGGACCACACTGCAGTGGTGGTACTTTCTGAGGCTTTGCTAGTTAAATAGCACTAGTATGTATACCTGTATGGAAAGCTGTAAGATGTTGATTTAGAAGATATGCATGGCTATACTAAGAGGACCAATGCCTTGGTGCTCAGTGGCACTTGTCGCAGCAAGAACATTCGATTTCGGACAAGCAATCAGCAGCAAGATAGGTCAAACTGGCCGTTTCTTTCAGCTCGCACAGCTCTGGAGATATTTGGCCGGTGAGATCATTCCTGTACAGTCGTAGTGAACCTTCAGAAGCCGAAGACGAATTCAGCCAATACATAGAACCGGTGATTAGGACCTTTTCCAACGGCAAGTTGCCACAATATACAGTACAAGCACGTCACTGTCTCTGCTTACCGAGGTTTTCCAGTTCCTTCCAAGTTTCTGGAACCGATCCAGTGAGGCCGTTGTTCTGCATGTAGACATTCACCAGTGACTTGACCTCTCCGATCTCCTCCGGCAGTGTCCCAATGAACATCTAAACCAGTATTGACAGTGAATCGAAATCAGAATCGTTCTGCATGTGTCGCATCCCTCCGACTCAACAACTAAACTCACATTGTCGTTCAACCAAAGGTCGTGTAAATCAGTCATTTCACCAAGTTCGGGAACAGGGCCGGAAAACTCGTTGTGGTGCAACACCAGCGTCCTTAATTTAGTCGGGAGCGAAGGAACCGGACCGGTAAAGATGTTGTGGTCCAAAATGAGATGTTCTACGAAGCACGTATGTGAGAAGATAAGCTCCAGCAGAAGTTGTGCCCGGATAGTGGACAACGAACCAACTCACCAAGATCTGACAGCTCTCCAATCGATCGTGGGAGCGTCCCGCTAAACTCGTTCTTGTGTAAATCGAGAGCTATCATGCTCCTTGTGTGGTGGAAGACATCTGGCACCGTGCCGTTCATGTCATTGTTCCCCAGCGAAAGCACCTCTGTGGTACCGGTAGGAAGGCGACAGTTAGTTGATGGGGTCACGGTGAGAAACTGCCATCTGGAAAGTGGATGCAAATCAATCGAGGGAGACAGACGCTTACCCAGTCGATGAAGCTTGTGCATCTTTTCAGGTATTGTTCCTGTGAGGCTGTTGTACTCCAAGCGGATGTCCACTGCAAGTTAAAGGTTTCACGGTGGCGTTTTACAAGCACAAGTTAGGTATACCAGAAGAAGATTGTACATCCGTGTAGTCATTGAGGCTGTCGATTTGGAACCTACCCAACGCCTTGTCCTTGAATAGATCCTCAGGCAGCTGCCCCTCGAATGCGTTGTTGTTGAGATACAAATACTCTGTGCGTGCAAGGATACCGGGTTGGTCATGCAGAATACAAACAGCGGACCACCGCATGTACAAAGACAAAACGTACCTAAGTCCTTCATCCCCACCATGCTCGGAATCGGACCAGACCTGTTGGTGAACAACATGCACCGATTAGCGCCTGGCTGCATTCGACAAACGTCGGCACTTCACTTTCACTGTTCGAGGCAGTCTTCATTGCTTACATCAGATTGTCTTGCAAGAACAAGAGCATCAAATTCGTGAGCTGGTCCAGGTCGATGGGCAACGAGCCTCCGATCTTGTTTTCGGAAAGGTTGATGTAGGTTAAGCTCGTCCATTGAGGAAAGTTCTCGGGCTGAAGGGTAGGTGAGAATACGAGGGTAGGGTTAGAAGCAAGGTGTTCAGCCAGCCTTTCGAACTAACAAGAAGATTGGACACACCAGGATTCCGCTCAAGAGATTGTCATCCCTGAGTGCAGTTTGCCGAAAAAGAAAAGGCGAAATAAGTTGCACGAAAAGATGTCATCTTGAATGCTGACCCTTCAAACTTACAGCATCAAGTACTGCAACTTGGTGAGATGTTCAATGTAGATGCCAGGAATGGTGCCTTCCAGATAGTTGTGGGACATATCCACTTTGGTCAATTCTTTCAGCAGTGCTAGCTCAGCAGGCAGCGTGCCTTGCAGAGTGGTTCCCGACATGTTCAAGTGGACCACCCGTGTGTTCGTCTCTTCGCATACTATCCCTTGCCAGGAGCAGATGTCTTGATCCATCATCCAGTTGGCGCCATAAGAATCGATTCGCCGTTCGTCTTGTTCCTGGCTCGAAACTTCTTTCGGTTCCACTTGTACACCATCGTCGTCTGTGTCTGCGACAGCATCCTTCCCAAGTGACAAGGCCTCATCCGTGGTTCGATTCGCCATTGTGCCGGGGTGAGTGGTGAAGAAGAGGACGGCCAAGGCGTATCTCTGCAGAATAGCGCCTTCGTCCGATTCAATCTCGAGACGTGCAGGGTCATACTGAGCAATCCACTTGAGAGCCTCATTGGCAAACTCATCGGTTGAGTTCATCCTGTGCTCAACCAATATCTTGTGGAATGTGGTCGTCCGTTCTGCCACTTCCTCCTCAGCAAACACGGGCGAAAGGTACGTGATACCTTCTTTCTCGATCGTGTCAATCACAGGACGACCGAAAGCCGGACCCAATTCTGAACCTGGGACAAGCAACTGGGAAGACTTGACGACTTTTTTCTTCTTCGTCAACACAGCTGGTAGAACCACGGCCAAGATAATAACACAGCACATTGGCACGAGACACTTCTTGTTGCAAACACAATCCGAAAGACTCCTGCAGAAGTCTTTGACATAGTAGGAAAACTGTTCCCAAGGAGAGACCTTGAGGTACTACAAGAATCAAGAGTTCGGCCAGCAAAAAGCAAAACAAAATCAATGTTAGTACACCGTCTGCTGGACACAAACCCAGGCCTGAAATGAGACAATATACTCAACCGGGTTGCGCTTGTTTCTCGAAAAGGAGTTTCTAGAAGAGGTGCTCCCTGCGGCACTGAAGGCGCCACTGCTGAATGCGGTACTGCCGGACTCTCCCAAGTAAACCTCGCCAAGGCCTGGTTTCTTCTTTCCTGCTTCCAAATCCCTGAGGTTGACCGATTGGTCCACGTTTCGTAAATCTGGCCTTGAGATGAAAGCGTTTGGTTCTGTTGGAGCGTGCTTCTTGCTAGGTGCATCAACAGTGGGAAATGCCAATCTAGACATGCTCAGTGTCGACATGTCTTCATCACCGTCCATAAATTTCTTGGGCATGCCAGAGTTTCTTCCATAGCTGCTTCCATCGGTGTACTGGCTGCTGTCATCTCTGGGTTTCTTAGTTTTGCTCCGATCACTTAGATCCAGAGCCAAGCCATCGTCTTTGTTCGTGCGAGACGATCCTGTCTTCTTGAGGCCTCTAGAGGAGCCTTCGCTGGGTTTGCGTTCGAGCTTGGGTTTGTCCCCGCCGCTGTCACCTGCGGCCTCGCCGAACAGTTTCGGATTAAGTTTGGTGTTTTTGGCTTTAGGCTTCTCGCCCGTGATGGGCGGGCCTCTAGACGAAGCACTGGAACTGCTGGAGCTCGACGAGCTCGAACTGGATCCTGTTCGTTTGCGGGGTCCTTTCTTACCAGCAAGCCCGAGCAACATGGCCATGGAATCTTCATTGTTGGAAGTCTGACGCTCCAAGGTACCGGTACGAGCACCTGTGGTCCTTGAACCGCGATCGCTATCGTTCTTCTTATCACCGCTTTTGCCGCCTCTGAAGCTGGAAGAGCGTTCTGTCGAGCCTCGAAAGCTGGAGTTGCCTCGTAAGTTCCGAGAAGACGAGGAACGACGCGGTTTATCGCTGTCATCGCGACTGCGGCGATCACGTCCTCCGTCTCCACCGCGCAGATTATCTCCTGATGAACCAACAGATCGCATCGACATGGCGCGGCCCATGCCTGGGCGGGAACCGCGGTCTCTATCTCGGTCCCGCGGCTCCCTACTGCGATCTCTGGTACGTTCACCGCGCTTGGAGCGTTCTTTCTTGTCTCTGTCCTTCTCACCCATCTTGCATGCACGTAGCCGCTAGCGACTGAGTACTGGTACTAGCCAATGATGAAATACCGGTACTGAGGAATCAAAAGTTCGCAATTCAAAATCAATAGCTTCAGGTTGCCGAAAGACGGATATTGTTGATGATCAGGGGTCCTAGCTAGCTTCCAGTTGCTAGAAATCGAAAACAACAACAACAACAGCAACAGCAACAGCAACAGCAACAACAAAGTTGGGCGCTTTGGCTCAATGATTGGAATATTTGTCTGCAGCAACTACACCGTTTCACTGTGGCGCTTTGGGCTGCTTCCGCTTTCTCAAAGAGATGGTGCGCTGTGGATATCCAAATAGGGTCATTGCGAAAGATACAAAGATTTCTTGGATAACAGGAAGGATCCTGGCTCACCCAGCAAGCCAGCCAGTCGTCCAAGTCATTCCCACGACCAGGCATGTCGGGTTCTCTAACCCAACTCAGACACAGTTCAAGTTGCGCGAGTCCCACCATCGAATAAATAAGATATGGCATACTAAGAAGTACTGGCGGAAACTACAGAGCGCATTTTAAAAAAAAAAAGGGATCTGTTTTTTTGTTTTACCGCAAGAACCTGAGGCCAGCCACTAGTAGTAGCTAATAACATCGGTCGCAACATGGACACTCTACTCTGGAATTGCAGTCAGCCGAGACGTAGTTGAGGTTGGCCAGGTGTTTCAAATTGCATAGACCACTGGAGATCGTCCCGTGTAAACGAGGATTGTTGTGAAGTTTGAGGTATTCTGAGCATGCGAAGAGGAGGAGTGGCGTAAAGGATTCGATTCAGTCAGGTCGCAAGAACAGAGGGGCATTTTGTTAGGTTCACGAATCAGATTAACCGTCGGCTGCTCCAACGTCAATTGACGTACCCAAATGCTTCATTTCTTCCAACGACGAAGCAGGGATGGAGCCAGAGAGTTCAGTATCATGCAAGATCGCCATTTTTAAACGCCTCAGGTTCGCTACGGTCGGGGGGATGGTTCCAACCAAGGGCTTTGGGCAGTGCCGTTACGTACGGAAGGACTGGGTTAGAATTCTTTAAAGGAAATGCAGAGCATGCCAACAGGAACATCGATACTTCACCTCTACTTACATTATGCGCTAACCAGAGTTCCTCGAGGAGAGTCAGATGGCCTAAATCCGGCAGCGATCCCTGAGATGTGCAGGAAATAACGCAATGTGAGACGATACCGTTGGTCGTAATGGACAGGTACATGGATTTACCTGTAATTTATTTGAGTGGACAATGAGACTCTGCAAATTGCTCTTGAAATCTGGGATAGTCCCAGTAAAGCTGTTGTGGTCTCCAATGAAATGGACTGTTGCGAGGCAAAAGATTGCGTGAGCGTTGGATCCCGAGACGCCTCCCAAAGTTGCAGCCGTAGAATTCATTCACTGATACATACCTAGACTAGGCGGCGAAGTTGCGAATCCAATGCTGCCGGAGAGTGAGTTGTTGTGTAGATCGATTTTGGCTGATTACATTGAGCAGGACAGCCGAGCAGCATCGAGGCCGCGAACACACGTTAGACCCTACGCACATCACTGGACAAATACCTTCTTGATACGTTGACTCCTTACCGAGCTTGTCCAATCGTTGCAGTATATCAGAGTCCAAAGTTCCACTGAATCTGTTGGACCCCAACTCCAAGTTTTCTGAAATTCATCCGTGAGAGCCGACTGTGACAATGAGTCGTCGTTGTAGCAGCTTGCTAAGACTTACCGAGATGAATCAATTCTGTGAGACCAGTTGGCAATCTTCCGTTCAACTTGTTGTTGGAACAGCGCAGATCAGCTTTGACAGAAGAACAAACAAAAGCATTGGGTTAGGTAGCCAGTCTCGTCATTGAAACACGATCGTCTTTGGTAGAGTTCGTTTCGAGGTCGTTGCGTACTTACTCAGTCTCGGTGGCATGTCTGGCAGCCTGCCCTCGAAGGAATTCCCCTGCAGGCTTAACTGCCGTAAATGAGGCATTTGCTTGATCTGTTTCGGAATTGAGCCGACAAAGCGATTGTCGGACAAGTCTAGATGATACAACTCCTGACAGAAAACCAAGTAGTCTTCTGGCAACGTCCCCGACAGAGAATTGTTTTTGGCATAGAACAGTTCCAGGTAGCATTGAGATGACTCTTGTGCGATTCCGGCGTCATCATCGTCATCATTGTCCCCGTCATCGTCATCTTTGGAATCGTCTTCAGCATCGTCTTTGTCATCATAACTCTGCATAAATGACCCCAACTGTGGCAGTTGACCATGGAGATTGTTGTGACTGAGATCCAGTGTAAGAAGCTTGTCACGCAGCAACAGCCAGGCAAGCTCGGCTTGAGGCAGCGTGCCGTTAAGATTACTATGAGATAGATCCAAATGAACGATTCTTCTGTAGCTAGCAGCGCCGCCACCAATTGAATTGAAGCCGTCGTCATCGTCGTCGTCATCGTCATCGTCATAGCTAAAGCTGTCATCGTCCGCCAATGCACAGTCGATGCCGCTCCATTCGCAGACATGACTGGATGCTAACCAGTTTGTTGAAGGCGTCACTTCCTTTGCATCATCCTGTAGACGCCTCGTGGTTGGTTTCTCTCCCTTCTCTTGTGCGGATTGACCATGTCTCTCGTCAGGGGAAGGATTGGTTGCACTCATCGTTTGCACGGCCCAGTTCGGACGCGTAGCAAAGAATAGCGACGCCAAGACGAATCTTTGCGCAATCTCTGCAGTATTCATTATTTCCAGTTGATCAGTTTCCAGGTCTGTTGTTTCTTCTTGAGTAATACTATCATCCAACAGTGAATTGTCATCTTGGGTAACCAACCATTCGCGAGCTTGTTGGGCGTGCGGCGATGGCATAGTGGTGTCAAAGCGATGTTTGGCCAGCGCTGCGTCCAGTATTTGTTGCCTACGTACTCGTATGATCTGCTGCTGTGATGATGGTGACTGTGCTTGCTGATGTGGTTGTTCTGAGTCTGTCAGATATGGTTCCGTTTCTGGATGAACCTCTTGTGTTGGATCTGTTTCTTGCAAGTCTGTAGCGTCTTGGGTCGGTTCTGTTGACCTGGGCTTGCCACTTGGAACGGTAGTAGGTAAAGGGGTTGCTGGAGCGAGACTTGGAACAGTGGTAGATGCATCTGTATCTGGAGAAACTGAAGGCGCTGCAGTGGCACCTTCCCTGAACGTGTCGTCGTTGTCTGTATCAAACTTCCTTCGTTCACCCAGGGAACGCTGCAAGTGAGCCCAAGTAAGCAAGAATATAACTGTCGCAAGGAGGGCAGCTGCCATGCATCGATAGAGGCACTTTCGGAAATTGCAGCTGCCTTCTGTCTTGTGATCTCGGTTGATTTTTCGGTTGTGTTTGCTTTTTGGCTTCTTCTTGCCGCGCTTGGGAGAGCCTCGGCCACTGCGATAAACACGCATAGAGCTACTACTGCTTTCGTGCATGTAGCTTGCTGCTTCGACGTCCATAAGGTTGATAGTCTGATCCACTTGTCTCAAATCCACTACCCGAGACGGAAAGTTGCTGCGAGAGCTGTGATCACTACCACTCCCCCATGTACTACCGGTAGTACCAGTAGTACGACTGGAATACCACTGTTGCTGGGTGTCCACTTGGAGGCTCTCGACAATCCTATCATTTTCGTGGCGATTCGAGGAGAAATCTGAGTATAGACTGGAATGGTCGTCGTCGTGTTCAGAGTGTTCGTCGCTCGCTGCGTCGCTGCCGCTGTTGGAGTCGTCCTCCAAAAAGAGACGCGCCACCTCTGAGTTTCTAGTAGGGATGTAGTTGCTCCTCGTGCTTCGACTGTCACTCCAACTCTGAGCCAAGGAATCGCTACGATCCTGACCTCGGTGTGATCCCGCCGACCCGTCGTCGAACGACTCTGACGGCATGGCTGTAGCCACTGAAGTGCTTGCTTCTGGTCCTTCTTGTCGTTATGCTTTGCTTGCTTTTGTTGTTGCTGTTGGACTTTTTATGATAATGACTGATCAGAGAAGCCCTACCAAACTCCAAACAAACCCAGGGAGCCCAACCAACAATCACGATAACGAAACCAGCCATCCTCGTTGTGGACGAACATTGTGTTCAAAGTTTGTTCCGATTTGTAGGGCTCCTTGGAGGGGCTAATGGCACTTAGGGCATGTAAGTCAAACATAAATACCAAGTGCTTTGGTAGGTCTGTTTTATACCCCAGAGAATATTGCCTTGAGCCAACCCAAGGGGTTTCTTTTGATCGGAATATCCGGCATGAACCTTACTTGGGATCCATTTGGTACAATCTACACAGGAGCTCTACGTAAACCAAATTTCAGAATTCGAAATTAGTCTTGCGGAAATCTGTAGGGCCTGAGTAGAAGCTGCTGAGGCTGCTGGACATCGACCGCGAACCATCCGTTCCAGTTTCGCAGTGCCAACGATGAGACATGCAGTGGTCTTCAATTTGAAGGGAAGAATAGACTAGGAGTAAGGCCAAGACAATGCAAGCAGAAGATGGACGGAACCAAGGAGATATCTTTACTGTTAGACTACCTGAGGAGCCATTTGTGTTTTCAAGTCAGACTGCATGTTCCTTCGTCTGGTCTATCTAGCAAGCAGTTCCAAGGCAGGTCATCAATCTCACAGAAACCCAATCACTTTTGACAAACTGCACAAGGACGTAGTACTGAGCTGTGGGTGCTTTCATGCTATATTCAAAGGGACCAACTGAAAAAGCTACCCACTCGAAACAAACTAGTCTTCTCGATCCGTCCAAGCAACCGAGCTGCCTGCTTCTACATGTACTTTGCTTCTCTCCTAATTTCACTCACTGGCATTGACATCCACATTCGCAGACCAGTCCTGCATTGCACGTAATGACAACTTGGATTGGATCGTTGTCTCTCTGCAAGGCATCGCAAACGGATTCCGGGATAGATCCAACAAGGCCGGGATTCCCCGACACGTCGATGGATGTCAAATGAGAGAGCAACCCAATTTCGTTGGGCAACGTTCCTTCGAGAGAGTTGTCGCTCAATAACAACCTCGTGTAAAAGCCAACATTGTCGTCGCTTTCGCAGACGGCGGGTCCTTTGTCGTATGGCCAGGAGACATCGGCTACATGAGGCCACCAATCGCATTCGGGTGTATCGTGGTCTTCCCAGTATCGTTGAAAGGTCCATCCCTCTCCGTTGGTGGCATAGAACAGCGTCATTAATGCAAAGCGTTGTACAAATTGATCCGCCTCTTCAATACTATTAGTAGTATTGGTGATCATGGCCAGAAATCGCGTACTATTATTGCCAGCACCAGTGCCATCGAGCAAATTGGGAGCGAATTCTTGTCCAGTTCGTTGTTGAATATCTAACTGTAACCATCGCCATGCCTTGGCTTGCGGACCATTGGGATTGGTGATAATGGCATTAATAGTTCCAACTGGCAAGTCGTCTTTCGGAATAAAGGGTCGAGTGGTAGGAGCCGCGGTTGGTTGCAGCGTGGTAGGAGCCTCAGTGGGTGATCCCGTGGAGGGTGTTTCGGAGGGGACCATGGAAGGAGCCTCTGAAGGGGCTTCTTCGTGTACGCCAATGTTGCTGATTTCATCAATAATCTTGGAGCCATTGTTCTTCCATACAGTGACCCCCAAAACGGTAAAGGTAGCCGTGAGAGCAATGATTAGTATGATTCCCCATCGTCCCTTTCGGCTTTTTAGGAGTGTCCAAACGGAATCATTGAGTGTTGGAGTTTCGGCCGTGACCACCATGACTGCTGCTGCGGATTCATCTTGAAAATAGTCATTATTATTGTTGTTGGTACGATGGCTGGTGGTGGTAGTTGTTGCGTTGGCGGCAATGGTGGTGTGGTGATGGTAGGAGGAGGAAGCTTCAACTGTCGTTTGCGGTGCTTCCTCGGATGGGCGTTGTCGCGTTTGTGGTTGTTCTTCGTCTACCGTTTCGGCGTTTCTACTAGTCCGTCTATGATGACTGCGCCGGGAGCGATGTTGGTCTTGTCCCTCTTCTTCTTCGACGACCAATACGGATTCAATGACGAGCGATGATTCCACAATGGGCGGCGGTGGTGATGTCTGGACAGAAGATGTGTTGCTTTGATGATGAATACTGGATCCTCTGAGATCTGCCTCGAGTGCTGCATTGGTAACTGCCAGTCTTCCACTTTGCGAAGGCTGAATACGAAAGGCTCCTACAGGGATGGATCTGTTACTGTTGTTGGATGGTGTCCTTGCAACGGCAGTAGCAGTTGCAGTAGTGGCATTTGATTCCGCTTGTGCTTCATTCGTTTCATCTGTGTTGTTGTTGGCAGCATCATTGGTATTGGTATCATTGTCGTTGATACTGTTGTTTTGATTCGTATGGGTTTTCCGTCTTCTTGCAGACGCTGCCACTGCTCCGAGATTGGCCGCCATGTCCGCTGGAGTTTGATTTGGATTCTGGTTCGCCTTTTGTTGAATATCTTGTCGTGCCAGAGCCAGAGCCGCTTGATGATCTGTGGTGAAGCTGGATTGGTTATTACTACTATTGCTAATGCCGGTGGTGGTGGTGGCCATGGAGTTTGGTTCCTGTTGTAGAGTCATACTGCTTCTGATGCTGGCATTGCTGCTCCTGATACTGGCGTTGCTACTTCTTGTACTGGCAGTACTAGCTTGCTGTTGCTGTTGCTGTCTCATTTTGTGCTGAATGCGTGCTTCTCTGGACTGTGGTGCCAGGGTGGTCCCAGAGGCCATGATGTTAGAAGCAGAGGCACTGGGCTTGACATTCATAGTTGCATAGTCTTGCTCCATCAAGTCATCCACATCAATTTCAGTGTCTTGCTGTGCTTCTAAAGGTAGTGATGCTGGCTTTTTGGCTACATGCAAGTGGCTAGGTTCTGTACTTGTACTGCTGCTACTCATGCGTGTGGTACTGGTACCGGTACCATTGGCTGAGGAGGAGGCTACAGCGGCTGCAAGAGTAGCTGAAGATATTGACACGTGACCATCTTTTGAGTCGTGCGATGTTGATCTTTGAGGTCGCACAGTGTCTCGATCAGGGACTTCTTTCGCAAGTCCTTGATTGCTTATCGCAGCAGCAGCGGTGGTTGTGGTAGCAGCAACAGTAGTGTCTTCTACTACATCTAATATAAGATCATCGACATCGATATCCTTACTTTCTTGATCGTCTTCTCCTTGAAGCGTGTCAGCGTCAACAGAGGTACTACCAGTACTAGTGCTAGCTAAAGTAGCACTGTTGTGACTCTTCATACTAGTACTAGCTAGTGTTTGTCTTGTGTTGATAGTACTAGCTAGCTAGTGTAGTAGTGGTGTTGCTGCTGTTGTCTCTGGTTGTTCAGTCTCATTCGATATCCAAAAACAACGGCAAGTTCAGAAAAGTGAGGGATGATTGATGCGAAGTCATTTATTTCAAAGCTTTAAAACCGTGAAGCTGTCAAACATTTGCGGAACATTTTCCAAAGCAGTCATCAGAGATGGACCAGAATGTCAACCTTTCGGGGAGAAGCCAATGGATCAATCATGATGAGAGTTCCACAACCATTCAGCACAGAAGCCTTCTCAACAGACTACTAAATTATCTACACTAGATTCACTCTTACTTATTGAGGGATCCTTCGGTCATTTTTGGCGACAATACCAGATTGATCGGAATACAACGGTTACCAAGCCTTGTACTCAGGGTAATGGGATAAATCAAGTCTATAAGATCGTGGCGTGGATCGATCAACAGTCAGCGCTGTGTGTGCTATAGTACGACTGTATGCCTGACCGGATTATGGTTGCCCGGACTGATCTTGCGGTATCTTCAGAGCATCCCCTGCACGGATGATAACATCTGCACCGAATAATGATTGAACCAAGAGAAGTGTACTACTAATAGTCCGCATTTGTTTTTTATTATAAGTTGTCATGCAACAAAGCGCTAGGCTGGCTGCATTCAGTTCATTCGTTCTAACGACGCACCTCTTCCGGTTCTGTGCCGGTACCGGTACGGTACCGGTATTCTTATACGACTGTACCGGTACTACCGTACCTGGTAGTATGTGCTTTGTCCGCAAGATGAAGTAGTTTGTGTGGTACCCGTACATTGACTACGGTCGCACTTCTAAATACAGTACTCCTATGCGGCCTTGACTTGCTTGATCAAAGGCATCAGAAGATGTTCCATACTACACGTTATCGATATGGCTCAGATATGCATACTCATATCAATACAAATAGAAGTGCATGCACATGGATTGAATTCGAAATCACTCAGTTCGATTGTTTGGCACTTCTTCTTCTTTGGTGAAATGATGTGCAGCCTTAGCGAATGAAACGAAACCATTGAGCGGAGGAGTGTAGTCTTCTCTCTTTGCTTTCTAGCCAGCTATGAACTTTGAGTAAAGTTGCTTAGTGATGTCTTCATGCTTCCCTCTACTTTCGCAATATGATCATTGCATGGTGAAGCCAGCTAGGGCATGCTGTAGCCGGAATGGTAAGTTTCAACTAGGCCATCGGCAGCTAGGAACTGGGAACGAAACTCTGTTTTCTCATCTCCCTGCTATCAATTGGATCAGATGGTTCTGCAAATCCCGCTTGAATTAGCGTTCACTTCTTTCGCAGTCATTTTTCTTTGATGATTGGGTTAGATCATTGTTACACTGTCACACTGCCCAGTACCACTTCCGCAACCAAAGATCTCAACTCCAGCAGCATGCACCAGCAACACGAACAAAACAAAACAAACCACAACAATCATTATAGTCTTCGAGCAGCTACTACTAGACCAGCCACTAGCTAGCTAGCTAGTAGAAGCAGATCTATTAAAGCTCATCCTTTGCAAGTATCAGAGGAGAAACTTCAATTGACTTTGTGCTTGAGGGCCACTACGGTATCGTAACGGTAATCCCGCGATTTCGGCCTTTTAGATTTTCGTCGATACAAGGCGCCACAGCTACGCTACTACAGGATATCAAGCTAGCTATCACTAGCTAGTCTCCAAAGCTGGCAAGAACAAGTGACTTAGTCCTCCAAGGCATTTGAAGAAGGAAGAGAAAGAAGGCAAAGAGAGTTCCATTCAAGCCTCAAGAGTTCTGGCTAGCCCCCCTTCTAGCTAGCTATACTATCCAGTAAGCTACCCTGCTTTCTAGCTGCCTACCAATACCTGCCCAACCCTTGCAAGTCCAACTTTTGCAAACTGAATTCCTGGATTGCCACCTGACAGTATACATCAAGCTATTGGCAAGAGCAACAAGGAACTTGTAGTTGTGAGATTGCAAGTGCCACCTAGCTAGCTACTATCTAGCAATTTTCACCCAACCCAAGACAAGCCACCATCAACTGTCACTTGAGAAGCTTAGCTTGCTTGCTTGGTTGTGGTCCATGAAAGAAGAGCATCAGAGATATCTGAGTTGCAAGTCTAAACCTTGAAGATATCATTGGAGTGGAGCTTCAGTGGAAACTTTGGGCCCATCTTTTATAGTTAGCTACTGGTAAGCACCAAAGGAGCAACATCAAGTTGGAGATCAGCAGCATTGGTTGATCAGGTTCACTTAGGTGAGACCATAATTTGGCCTAAGCTTCACCTTGGTGGGGGGCACTGGTGTTCTTGCCTTTGTTCATGCATTCCTTCCTTCATTCACACTCACAGCCCATATTCTTCTTCATCTGTCTCTCTATACTCTCCTGCACAGAATAGAAAGCAAAAGACAGCAATCTAGCTACTTGCTACTGCTAGCAGCAACTTGTTGAAAAAGTAAGCTGGAGTATACATCTGCAGACCAAACAAAATGAGTGACAATGACGAACAGAAACCAAACGCAAAGGCCAATGACAATGACAAAAGAACGCATGGTGTCCTGGTCGATGTGGATGAAGTTGTGGTAGTGGATGTCGACGAGGCAGGGGCAGGGGCATCACTCCAACAAGCGTCACAGGAAGAAGAAGCAGAAAACTTGCTGGTACAACGACAGCAAGAAGAAATGCTGAGACTCCAAGAAAGACAGGCCATGGAACGAAAACAATTTCAAGAGGCAAAGAAACTACAGCAACGCCATAATGACACATCCAGCACTGCCGACAATGTCAATCGAGACTCAGCTAGTGGTGCCACGGGTAATAGACCTTCCCTCAAATCCACGGCTACGCAAGCAATGACACCCAGCATTCGTGGCATCAACGCAGCGGCCGTCCAGGCGGAGCCACAAGTACTCGCAGTGGAGCGACGAGCCAGTGGCACTGCGCAATCGGCTAAAGAAGCACAGGACCACGAGGATCATGCACTGGAAATTGTGGCACAACAGGCTTCCAGACGCAAAGGACTGCCACGGCACCACAGCAACAATTCGTCCACATTGAAAAAATCTGAACACGACCAACTACAACCGTCCAATCGATCACTCGTCGCAAACCAGGAACCCAACGTAGTTCTGGCAGGAGAAGAAAGAAGGAGATCCAGTGTCGATGTGGACGCCATATATGTTGCTGAAATGGTCTCGAAAAAAGCACAAGAAAAACAAAAGCCACAAGCCGTTGGACGCAATTACAGTGGAAGCAGTCGAGCCTCGACGGTCTCGAGCGTGGACATTGATGTCGACGACATGGAGCATTTTATTGTGCAAGAACCCGACAAACCATCCATTGTGGCACGAAATTGTAGTACTGACACCAGCAACAGCAACAGCAACAATTCACAAGCTAATATCGAGTTTTTGAAAAGGCGAGAGTCCAAACTGCAATCTGCCGAACGACAAAAGGGCAGCACAAAATCTGGATTGAAGCGTTTCAGCTCCTTGTCGACAGCGTCCAACATCACCGTCACAACGTCGGGGTCGTCAGATGGAACTCATCCATCTAGTCCTTTCGACGGCAGCAGCGAAATAATCGACAGTGCACGTCACATTATTGAAGGTGAATCTCCGGCGGCGAGGCGGCGAAGGTCCTCGGAAAATCGAAGAGACCGAGACGAGTTTGAACAAAAACGACAGGCATTGCCAACTTCGCAAATAGTGATGGTGGCAGCCAACAATAGTTTGCAGCTTCCCACTTTGAAACAGGGTGCGTCCTCCTGGGAAGAAATGGAAAAGACAGGTCTGACATCGTCCACCACCACAACGAGAATGTCGTCACAAAAGCAACCGCAGCAGGTCCAATCTTATCACAGCAGCAGCGACAGCAATATACCGGTAGAACATCAGTCTGCATCGTCACCAGTCACAACTCATCCGTCCAATCCTCCCATGGAGACAGTTCAAAGGCCATTCCTGCAAGAGCAGCTGGTCGTTGCTACCTTGGTCGAAGAAGATACGACGACAAACCGCTCTGAAACCGACAGAAACGCCAGCTGTAGTAGCCTGGCATTCGATGATTCCAACCCGCTACCAGAGTCAGCCCGTCCGCCGCAAGAGGCACCCCCACCACCTCCAGTCAGCAACAATAACCTATTGGGGTTACAAGGAGACACGGCCGATATCGACCCTTCGAAAATTATCGTCCAAGCCAAACCTGCAGAGGCGTTGGACTCGGTATGGGATGTGCTTCGAGATCGAAATGGGAGAGTGCTCGTTTGCTTGCTCGTGGTTCTGATTGCTGCGGGTGTCATTGGCATTTCGATTGGCTTGGGTGGCTTCCTCGACAGCAAGGGAGAAAGCGGGGAGGTGCAACAGACAAGCTTCGGATTGGGGGCCTCGCAGGGTACCCAACAGACCCCAACCACTATTGAGCCCATTAGGGATGAGCCTACAGCGGCGCCCGTGGTACAAATTGCAGACACATTGGCCCCCACAACTCATGCTCCCACAACCGAGTTGCAAGGTGCTTTCGCATCTCTCCTCCCAAGTTACACCGTTGATGCGTTGCATGACCCAAACTCTGCTCAATCCAAAGCACTAAAGTGGCTTCTGGTCGATCACGAGCCTGCTGTGTTTGCCAGTTACTCCGAGGACCGGCTCCGGCAAAGGTTTGCTCTGGCGACCTTGTACTACGCAACGAAAGGAATAGGTTGGAGATGGAAGAGATTCTGGCTATCGACGGATCCAGAAATTCACGAATGCCAATGGTGGAGTTATTATGATCACCCTGAAAGCAGCGGTCGAGACTCGCCTTGCAATGAAAACATGGAGTACGAATCCTTGGCTCTGTCCGAGAACTACCTCAAGGGCACGCTTCCGCCCGAAGTCGCATTGTTGACCGCTTTGAAAGACATACATCTCGTGGCCGATGCTTTCTTTGGTGCCACGTCGGATGAGGAAAAGAAAGAAAATTATATCTCTGGACAAATCCCAATTCCTTGGATGACATCGCTCTCAAATTTGACTACAATAGATCTGGGGCGAAATGCCCTCACTGGGTCTATTCCGACGGAGATCGGATTGATGCCAGAACTACAAATCGTGCAACTGAGGGAGAACCTCATTGGTGGCACAATTCCTCCCTCGCTCTTTGGTCTGCCGAACGTCAAGGAGCTATGGCTGTTTGACAATCGCCTGACAGGTCCCATCCCCACAGAAGTCCAGTTTGTTACCGACAGCCTCCGCATTTTTGCAGCCTACAGCAACCGTCTCACGGGAACTATTCCTACTGGTAAGAATAACTCAATCTTGAAAGTGGTTTCAATGGAGAGCAATGTGGTATGGCTTGGTATTTGATTTGCATTGAATTCTAATCCACCCCTTGCAAATCAAACGTGCCTTCGCAGAGCTCGTTTCCTTGACTCAGTTAAGGCAATTGAAGCTGGAAAGCAACCAACTCGTTGGTGAGTACAAGTGTGCTAAGAATGACACACATTGTTTTGATCCTGATTCCCATAGCCTAATCTCTTGTCTTGTGTTCAGGGAAGATACCGATCGACATAACTTACATGACGAACCTCCGGTCCTTGCATCTATTTGACAACCGTTTGTCAGGTACAATCCACACAGGTAAGTCTGCTAGATGATATTGGAGATATCATGCACAAAATTAAGGAACGCAATGGAGCCTGCTTATTTCCATTTATTTCCACTTGCATTGAAGAGTTTGGAAGACTTAGTGAATTGAAGCATTTCTGGATTGGGAAGAATCGTAAGTGCTCGATCGTCGTCGATCGTCGCTCGTGCGTTTGCATTCGGCTCGTATGCCATACACTATATGCTGATATCATACACTCCCTGTTCATCCGCGAATATATAGGATTGACTGGGACAATGCCGTCTGAGCTGGGATCCATGGTCGGTTTGAACAACATTGGACTGGGAAACAACAAGCTGACCGGTGAGAAAGAAACCACTTTCTGGCTGCTTGTTTTCGGTCATTTTCATGTCTTCGACAATCGCTCAATTCCTTTCATGTGCTGTTTTTTAGGAACGATCCCCGTCGATCTCGGGAACTGGAGCTCGATTCTTCGCACCGTCCTGGAGTTCAATGACCTGACAGGGAGTGTCCCCCAGGAGTTGTGTTCGAAAGCCAGCTCAAATCCCGTCTTCTTCCGAGTGTTCGTAGACTGCGAAGAGGTTCAATGTGGTTGCCTTTGTTGCCTATGTAATTGCGGCTTGAGATCAGGTGGAGAAAATAGATCGCTCTCGGAGCCCTAGCAAAAATGCCAAGGAGTGGCACACTTTGTGATTGATTTATGAGAGGAAAATGTTTTGGCCACAGGTCCCATTTGCTGGTGTATAAAGTATGATCTAGCTAGCTATGGATCTGTTGAAATTCTGTTGTGTTGCTAGCATTCTTACCATACCGGTAGGTCGACGCCATGCAATGGACCCGAGCAATTTTGTTACGTACGTCCCAGTGTTGGTGCATCACAAACGGATCCCACAGTGGAGTGCACGGATATCTAGTCAACGCATTAGTAATGGGGGACGCCACGAAGGCCCATCGTCCTGTTCGAGCAGCAGTCGCCGTCCATTGTTGTGCATTGGCTCCACATTGACAGGAACCTGGCAACTCGACGGGATCCAAGTTTTGGTTTGTCGATGGGACACATCCAGCTGACAGAAGCTGCTGCCAGTACTGGTGCCATGTCCGATGAGGAAAAGAAAGAAAATTATATCTATGGACAAATCCCAATTCCTTGGATGACATTGCTCTCCAACTTGGCTGACTCCACTGGATCTGGGGAGCAGCTAGCTATTATCATAGGGTCGATTCCATCGGAGATGGGATTGATGCCAGAACCACAAATTGTGTATGGCGGGATGGATTTCTCCGGGTAGAACAAGGTCTGATCGTTGTTGCTGCACGAAAAGACAACAGTCTCTCCTGGCTCCACCGTGTACCCGTACTGCCTGCCCCCTGCGCCTCCTTCAACACAAAGCAAATGCTCCATTTTCTTGTAATTGGTGGGCACCGTAGCCAGTGCCTCCGTTGGCCTCTGGAGCTTCGTACTGGCATGTAACTGACAGCGCAATGATGATACACTGGAGTGAGAGCCGATACAGAGACAGAAGATGCTGCCAGTTTTACCGCACAAGGTGAAAACCCAACATCGGGCACCAACTCTAGTGGGAAGCTGCATGGGTTACTTGCGGCTTTCCTCTGGGTTTGGACACACACAAACAAAAGTAAGAATGTTTGATCCATTCTCGAGGATGTTGCCGTCAAACAGCAATCGATCTCCTCAGGAACTGCATGATCATCGTCCGCAAACAGCAACACCAACACGAGCGAGCCAAAAACAAGAGATGGGAATTTTGGATCGCGCTTGAGTTGACTCCCGCACCTTCGGTGTAACCGTGACCGAGCCCTTTCGTTGACACCCACCGAGCTGGCCGCAACAAAAAACTGCGAGCATGCAACAAGCCAAAATTGGCCGTGAGATCGTCAACGAACATTTGGGAGCGGCAGGCAAGTGTTATTCTTGTAAAGCATCATTTAAAATTGACTATCATGGCTAGCTATCAGCAAGCGAGATGCAGCCCAGCACAACAACATACTAGTAGCTAGTAGCGCCCTTAGCTAATGGCATCTCTTTAGAATTTTTTTTTACAGAAGATCAATCGAGTTCTGTGGCTTCATCCCGCGACCGCAAACTGTACAGTAGCCATGCCGAGTATCTTTAGACTTAGACAGCAGCAACAACAACAACAAAATCAAAGATGGCGTCTTGTCGTTCGAATGCCCTCGTTCCCACAATCAGCGGTACTTTTGCTGCTGCTCTTATTGATTCAGTCTCACCTGCTGGTCGTGGTGGACGGGATTACACGTGAAGGATGTCTCGAGAATTACCTACCAGAACGCGTAGCTTGCTACGATGATTCGAACATTTTCGGGGACGCTTGTCGAGATTTGCCCATTCCATCGGAAGCGTTTCCGTCGCAGCATTTGAACGATCAAGGATTCGCCTTGATTCGTATTCGCGACACGATCACAACCCAAGCGTACGTCGTCACGGAGAATACCGCATTGGCGCTGATCGTGTTGGATATCGCGAGTGAAACAGAAACAGAAGAAGAGACTGAGGAAGAACGCAGTCCCGGACCAGTCTTTACCGTGTCGGCGGGAGCCACGTTACACGACAATGCAAGAGACGACCGCAAAGGCAAAGACGATAACAAAAACGGAAATCGCAAAAGGCGGAAACTCAAGGGGCACTCTGATCAAAATCACAATAATAATCGGCTATTGAAAGAAGAACGGAAAAAGAAAAATTCCGAAACGGAGAGTCGGGAACCAAAAGATGATGTGGATGTTCAGAGAGTTGTGGTGTCTAACGCTGCAGAACAGGAAGAATCTCCATTCGAGGAACTTGCTGTGTCACCCACTCATGAGGCTATTTATACGGCTCCGCCTACCTTTGCTCCAACACCATCACCTTCTGAACCCACTGAAACTCCTGGCAAAGGCAAACGGCCAACCCAACAGCGACGACCCATCCACGTGGCAATGATCGACTTCCCCGAGGCATTTCTAAGAAGAGATCCAAGCACTGGTAAAACTGTCAACAATATTATGTTGCCAGCGTTGGAAGAAATCTTGACCGAACACAATTTCTCCAAACAGGATATTGAACAAGCCTTGATGATATACACCCATGGCCACACAGACCACACCGGTGGCGCCAATTTTACGCTGCAAGTTCTGCGAGACGATTGGAAGGTTCCTGAAGTACACATTCTGGCATCCGAAGCTGTAGTGGAAACGTATGAAACCTTGATCGAGCGAGGTTTGTGGACGTTTCGGGCACCCATCCCAACGGTACCGGTGCCAACGTACGACTTGACACCCGAAGTGTTCACCGTTTCACTGGGACAATCCACACAAATACAGCTGCATCCAACCAATGGACATACAAGCGCTGGTCAGCAGGACTTTATTGTTTACATGGAAGCTCTCCCAGCGAGCCGCAGCAGCTCAAATACTAATAATGGTGGGCAAGCAGCGCAACCACCGATCCTCATGTACGTGGATGCAATCTTTCCACAGTGGGCACCCCCCTTTCGATTCGGGACGGATGATTTGTTGAGTTACATTCTCCTTCATGACAAGCTCCTGGAGTTTGACATGGAGGGCTTTGATGATGATGATGATGATGGTGATGATGATGGAGAGGAGGGTGTCTTTATTGGCGGACACGTCAACCAAGTCGGAACTCGGCAAGATATTTTGCTGAGTCAAGAGCTGCTGGAAGTCGTGCTGGACGCTGCCTCGGACGCTCTCATGGCAGTTGACATTAATCCTATCGCTGTTGACATTGGATTCTTTGATCCGAACTCGATTGGCTTTAGTAATCGATGGGCACTCTTTCGAGACTACAAGACTGTGGTGCTCCGGCATTGTGCCAAGAGCGTTGTGCAGCAAATGGGCTGTCAGTTGGCTGGACTCGATGTTGTCGCGGAATCGCTCTGCGATATTGGACAGCTCTTTTGGGGGATTGTGGCATAGAGCAGGCAAGCAAAAACACGCACATCTCTGGGGCATGGTTGGACGATTGGATGTCTCCGAAAGGTTCTGTTACGGTGCATCAAGCCGGCCGTGGCCTTCTTCTGTGGCTCGAGTTGGTCAGGTCAGGAGAAGAGATTGCCTGATCTCATTCCCCATGGATTTGCAATGAAGAAGGCCGACCAGGCCACAGCAGTTTCCCCCAAGCGGCCAACGTTTTAAAGCGGGCAGAGCAGTTCGCACCGGTCAACCAACCAACTCATTCAACCAACAATTCGAAATGGCGAATCCAGTGCCATGTAAGCGAAGGGTAGAATAGTCAGCGCCAAGCCTCCGATGATCTGAGTCACGTTAGGTTGGAAAACCTTGAGAGAGGCTTTCGAAGGCTTCAAGCTACCTGTAGCAGAGCATCGTACCGGTGCAACCGGTGCACTATGAAAATTGCAGAAAAGAGATGGCGACATGCAGCCGCTTAATTACGGGCAACACTCGGTCGGCTGCAACCTTGAGCCTTTGATTCCTCACTAAAGGAGAGCCACCGTGCTGATCTTCAGTTCAGTTCAGAGCAATGTGAAGTCGACTTCGTGCTCAAATGGAGTTTTTTTGGCAACATCTTGCAGGCCTACCACTCGTTCTTTCCGTCTCAGGCGTTACTACTATAGCCAGATAGACATCATTTGCATTCCTGGTAGCTGTTTTTCAATGCATGGTAGCTGTCTCTGTTTAGTAGCTTCTGGAATACATACCACTTTGGTACGAACTCAAAAAAGTCCTGAGAAGTTGGAAGAAAACTTGTTTTGGCTGGCTCGTAATTCCTATCAGCATCCCCATCCTGCTTCCTTGGTCACTTGAGAACCTATGAAAACGTAAATAGCTGTGACAGCAATTGTTGATTTCATTTGCATGCCCCTGGCCCCACTATGTAATGGTGGGTAGCACTGGGAGACTGCAGGGGGGATGCAAGGGGACAAATGAGGAAGTAGAGGGTTTGAGGGAGAGTAAGAGGGGGCTGTGTTACATGTTTGTCTCCATTTCAGCCACACATATGGAGGTGGTGGGCCCGAAGAATAGCGGGGCTGAGCCGAGCATTAACAGAGCCACGCACCACTGGTACAGAGCGAAGAGGAGAGTCGGAAGTCGTGGTACTACAACCTTAAAAAAGAATGCATCGATAGAGCTTTATAAATTGTCACATATTTATGCTGTAACGTTCATTGCCATTGAAAATATGCTTAGCCACATCCACATGCATTGCAGGTGCATGCCACAGGAAAAGGGTCTGGATCACAGTCAACAGTTATCGAAGTTAAGCTTGGGCTGGAACACAGATTGGCCGGAACACTACCCAACAACTGGTTGTCATTCAACCCCAACGTAGTCAATCCGGTCAAAAGTCCTATCTCGGATGGAACGTTCCCGCTCAAGCTATTTGCAGACAAGCTCAAGGTAGTTAAACCCGCCAACAATCCGAGCTCTGGTGGAATATTTCCGTTCAAGGTATTCTGCAACACGCTCAAATAAACCAATCCAGTCAAGAACCCAAGCTCTTCCGGCAGGCTTCCACTCAAGCTATTTTGCCACAAGTTCAACATGGTGAATCCAGTCAACAAGCCTATCTCCGATGGGATGTGTCCGTTCAAGCCATTGACGTACAGGTTCAACTCTGTCATTGCAGTCAACAATCCGACCTCCGAGGGAATGCTCCCGCTAAAGTTGTTGACATGAAAGTTTAACTCGGCAAGTGCCGTCCACGCCCCAATCTCAGATGGTATGATCCCGCTGAAACTATTCCGGGACAAGGTCAAGGTTTCCAATCGAGTCAGCAAGCCTATCTCGGTCGGCAGGCTACCGCTGAGGTTATTCCGACTCAAACTGAAGAAAACCAACCCAGTCAACATGCCAATTTCCGATGGAAGGCTTCCGCTCAAGTCATTGGACGAGAAGCTCAACCGATGCAGCCGAGTCAACAATCCAATCTGAGTGGGAATGGTTCCCATGAGATCAACATCTGCCCTATCAATTCCTGTGGTGTTTGCGACGTAGTAGGTTGTTCCAAACAGTTCAACTGTTTCTGTTGTGGCTGTGGTTGGAATACTTGTAATGAGTGGCTGCTGTGGAGTGGGACTAGGACTGAGAATAGTTGTTTCATTGGTTGGCATTGCTGTGGGTGAATTATTGTTTGTTGGAGGTCTTGTGGTGGGATTGATTGTGGTCGGAGGTCCTGTTGTTGGTGGGTTGGTGGGCCTCAATGTTGGCCGTGATGTTGGTCGGTTAGTGGGCCGTAATGATGGCCGGGGTGTTGGGCGATTGGTAGGCCGTGGTGTTGGGTTAGGAGTGGTTGGCCTTAACGTTGGCTTTTTGGTTGGGGGGGATGTGGATGGTCGTGGTGTTGGGCGATTGGTGGGCCTTTGCGTTGGTGGAAGCGTGGATGGCATGGACGTTGGGCTGCGGGTAGCCAAGGGTATGGGTATGATGGTGGATGGAGGAAGGGTTGGATCTGGTGTTGGTTCTTTGGTGGGCCTTTGCGTTGGGTTCGTCGTGGATGGCGCGGATGTTGGCGACATGGTTGTGCCATTTGTTGGCGTTTGTGTTGGAATTCCTGCCGATGGTGGTAATGATGATGATGATGATGATGATGGGTCGCTGCTGGGACCACTAGTAACAAAAGGACGGAAAGTATGGTTGATGGATGGGTTTGGCGATGGATGAACGGTTGGGTCTGCTGTTGGGTCATTGGAGGGTCTTCCCGAACCTGTAGTTGGCTTTATCGATGGCGAAAATGACGGGATGGTGGTAGGACCACCGGTACTAGTACCGGTGGGACTGGTGGTAGGATTCTTGGTTGTCATCTCTTGTGCTGATGGTTGGGTGGTTGTATTTGCTGGAAGGATGGGTGCTGGAGTAATGATATCACTGCTGCCACTGGTGGTACTAGAACTTGCGCTGGAACTGTCCCTGGAAGCACTGTCAGCGACGGACATGGCACTGTCGGTCACATTTAGAATAACGACAGCGATTGCTACTGCCGCAATGACGAGAGTAGCGACCGTGAGAGCCCGACAAGTTCTCTTGGATGCCTGGCAAGCACATCTGATATTGTCTTGTGGTGGTGGTGTTTCGTCATTGTTGTGATTGTGGGTGCTGTTGTCGTTGATGCTCATGGTGCTTCTGTGGATACTGGTGGATGCATTAGTAGTCGTGGTGAGTGCGTTTGTGGTTGGCGGTGGTGGTGGTGTGTCATGATTTCCATCCTGAGGTGGCGTGGGCACCAGTGGTGGTTCTGGTAGTTTATCAGGTGATGGAGGACCATTTCCCTGTTTGCTAGCTTCATCGCCATTGCCCATGCTATCCGCGCTATCCTGTGGTTCCTCTGCAATACTCTTGGGCGATTTGGTGCCTGGTGTTAGTGCTGGTGTTAGTGCTGGTGTAGGCATTGGTACTGGTACTGGTACTATAGCTGCAGCTGCTGCATGGGAGGGAGAAAGTTCGTCACTGACAGCATCAATCTTGAGGTGAATCAAGCTAGGAGTCCAAAGATCTCCAGCTGGGGAATCAGGGACTGACAGAACAGATCCATTGCTGCTATCCACTTCAGTACTCATATGATTGCTAGTTTCCTCCTTTGGCTTAGCTAGTCCATGCTTAGCTAGTCCATGTCTTTCCTCAGGATCTCTTTTGACTTTGGCAAAATTGACCCTAACCTTATTCTGAATGGTCTGATTCCCATCTTCTTGCTGCTCTTCTTCTTCATCGTCTTTTTCATCTTTTTCAGATTCATCAGACTCTGGTACTAGCAGGACAGAAACCAGAGGGGCTTCATCCGCATCATCATCTGCAGTCTTGTGAGCCGCATTGGTCTGAGTGGCAATGGGGGTAGCAGAAGCCACGGGAATGGAGGCTCTTGCTCCCACACCTCCTGAAGATACCCCTGTTCCAGCACCTACCGGTACATCTTCTTGTAAGGCTCCTTCATCTTGGTATTCTTGATCAGCGCGAGACCCGTCAGGTTCCATGGTTGATAGACTACTATTAATTGTATGATGGCAAACTAAAACAAAGATGGTGTTGTCCTTGCTTGTCCTCGCTATTTTTAGTAGAGGCTGTCCCTCATTTTTCTTTGCTGCTCCACGAGAATGGTACCAGTACTGCGCAGACGCTTCCCGCCTCTTTTTGGTATCCAAGACTGGAGGGACTCTAAGTGAACTGGACACCAGACTCAAGACATTATATCTCCAGATACCGGTATACTGGTACCTGGTACTCTCACGGCTCGTCTATACATGTAGTCGAATGTTCTTGGCAGGACTTGTGCCACTTGGCACCAAGGCATTGGGTATGGTAGCCATGAATATTTTAGTCAACATTTTGCTGCTTTTCATACATGTATACATACTAGTGCTAGTTTACGAGCAAAGCCTCAGAAAGTCACACAGCTGCAGTGCAATAGTAACGGTACAGTAGGCAAGCTCTGGCAATAATAGATACCAGAAGGCTCAGACGGCAGGAAAGACACCACACATTGAACCTCCGGGGCCGGCACTGAGGCCAGCCCCAATGAACCCAAAAGCGGGTCAAGTAGAATCACACCACTGATAAGGAGTAAGGGAAAACCCAACAGGAATATCAATCTCTGCCAGCCAATAAACACAGGGAACTAGAAATGCATCCAAGGTATAGACACATCCACAAACACAGGAAACCTGTGCACCCAAATGAAGCCCACCAAGACAGACACGACCCCATTGGCCACCAGAGTAAATCATTTGGGTGAAGGAACCATCCAAGGCCAGGCCAGCTTCCAAGTGGAAGCCCTTATATTGAATTTCTCCACTCTGCTTGTTTGTTGTTTGTTGTATTTATATTTGTATTTGTATTTGTATTTGTATTTGTCCTACCCAAAGGTGTAGCCGTGCACTTTTGTAGGATTCCTTGCATTGCTTGAATTTGTTGTGGGCGGTTTGAATAGACTCTTTCTTCCTTCGTGCTCTGATATGCAGTTTGCTTGCACGGATCCGGCGCCGTTGCGTGTATGGGAAGGGGGCAATCGTGCGTTCTGAGGCTCATCATCGAATGCATACGGTACCCCGATGCAGAACTGCAGAGGGGCCGAAGTTGCTTGCCTCTAGTTTAGTTCGTTGGGCGTGACTTCTGTTTGCTTGGCAATCGCAAGCAAGCAACGTCAAGGTTGTGGCACAGGGTATGGTCCGGTTGGTACTCTACATGTTGGCTACTCGCTCCGAGCGCCGTATCACAATATCGTTCGAGGTGCGTGGTTCCGGCTCGAGGTACCGTACCGGTTCTTGTCTACTCTCTTGTGCACTACAGTTGTTTGCGTCAGGATTGTCCAATAGCTCTGCAACCTAAAAAAAAAAACGCAGCAAAATCGCTCCATCTCTCCGTAGCCAAAATCGCTCCGTACGTATTACATAGAACAACTTGTCTTGTTCCAGAGACTCATCAAGCCAAGGCAACCAAGGCAGGAATCTCTTCTCTACTACCATAGAAGATAGCTGACACTGAAGACTGGAGCAGCAGGTGCCGATTGCAGCCAGAGAGAGTCAAAAGCTGAAAATAGACTCCACTTGATTCGCCTCTTCTTTCTGCCATTGTTTCAGATTGTGGGCGTTTGTGCCACAAACAAGGTCACTCCCAAGGCAACCAAGCCAGGGATCTCTTCATACTACTACTACTAGCAACAGTTGGCATGAAGACTGGAGCAGCAGGGGCCGATTGCAGCCAGAGAGAGTCAAAAGCTGAAATTGTATTTTCTTTCAAATCTACCACAATGGCCACCATGAGCACCAGGGAAAGCACAAACTCCAAGCACCGAGTTGGAATGAATATCAATGATGTGAATATTCAAGAAGCTGCCATCAACAAGGCCTGTGAATTCATGGGCCCTGATATGTACATCTACGGAATTGGATCCAACAAGAAATACAAGCATGGAGATACCCTCCTCCAAGAAGTGAGGAAAGCTTGTGGCTTCCAGGTGTCCTACAAGCAGCTGCAACGGTGGATTTCCTACTACAAGAAATTTGGAGAAGCTCCTGCCAGAACTAGGAGAGAACACCGGACAACTATCAAAGGATTGCGCACTATGAATCCCAAACAGTTCACCATAGCCGACCAGGATATCCTCAAGGAGATTGTGGATCAAGAGCCCCAGCTTTATTTAGATGAGATCCAAGAGCAGCTGGCTGCCAGAACTGGCAAAGCTTGGACGACTAGCACCATTTGGCGTCATCTACACAGCAAGCGCATTGGCTACTCTCTGAAAACTGCAGTTTGGAAAGCCAGGCAGCAATCACTGACCGAAGTGGCTCGATTTCACGTTCGAATGAATGATTATGTGCAGCATCCACGCCAGCTAATTTATGTTGATGAAACCTCTAGAAGCTCCAAGGCATCAAGGAGACGAAGAGGTTGGTCTCCTCGGGGAGTCACTCCCATCATTACTTCTCGGATGGAGAGGGAATTCGACAAGAAATACACTCTCATTGCTGCCTGCAATTGGGAGGGTTTTGAGATCGGCGCATGCCACATTGTGGAAAGAGAGACCAGCAATAGAGACACCAATCCAGACAGAGGAACCGTCGATACCGAACGATTCGAACATTGGGTCGAGCATTTTTTGGTCCCAGTTCTCGGGAGTTTTGTTGACTGTGAACCCAATTCTATAGTTGTCATGGATAACGCTTCGATTCATTTTTCGGACCGCATCACAGAGCAAATTGCCAATACTGGTGCCATTATGGTACTCACCGCACCCTACAGTCCCGAGCTAAATCCAATTGAGTACATGTTCAAAATCTACAAGGACTCGCTCAAGCGTCTATCCTACGATCGATCCCTTCATTGGACGGCTGCTCACCACAGCTCCCTGGTTGCCGTCACTCCTGATACGGCCAAGGCATTCTTCCGAAAATGTGAGGTTCCTGGAATCGAAAATTGGTACCATGAACAGCAACTGGAAAAGGAAGAAAATGAGCTTTTGTTTCTAGCTGTCCTCCCGCCTCGACTGATTCTCTTGCATGAACTTTTATTTGATGGAGATTCAGGGGATGGGCTATTCTAATCAATATGTACTAATGAAATAATGTAATCAATATGTACTAATGCATTAGTAGGGAGCTACAAGGAGGTCTCAGTGCTGACAGGGGATACCTTTTGTAGATGCACTTTGAAGTAGACCGGATTGATAGAACCCTTTTCTGGTTCTCCAGTACTGCTGATGCGTGGAATAACGTCTTTGTAGAACTCACCTGTTGATGTTGTGGCAAGCTCTTCCATGGTGTATGTCCGATAGACTTTATTGGAAATAGAATTGATGTATTCAACCACCAATTCTAGTTCCTTTTTTCGGACCTGATTTACTTGCTCTGGTTTGAAGTTAGATCGAACTCCACGTCGAATAGCTGGACTATCGAATGCCTGCCCCAAAGTTTTGATCGGGTCACTATCGGTTGGGCTGGTAGGCACCGTAATATCCTTACGCTGCTCATCATTGTTGTCTCGGTAGAATCGGATGGTAAACGTAGCGGGACGATTGCTGGCACTCGACGAATTATTGGTCGTTGCCCCTCCGGCTTGGAAGCAGGCTGTCAATGTGTCCATCTTGCGTTTAAAATCCTGTTCCTTTTGTTCATCGGCTGTCAGCTTGTAACGCTTGTACGATCCAGGAACATCCGACTCTGGTGGATAGGCTCCTGTCTTAGCCACTCGGCCTCCATAATTCACGCCGTTGGTTGTGACATCAGATGGCAATTCGCTGAGCGGAGGCCATGTGTCGAGATCACCAGCAGTACAAGAATACCGCTGATAGATTTTCTCTGTTTGCGCCATCAAGCAAATTTTGATCCTCTGATAATGCTCAAGCGTGAAACTGTGATACCACGGTGATTCCGGGCTGGCGTGATTCTTCCAGATGAAATCTTCAATTTCCTGTGGAGACGTCATTTGCTGCTCTCGTGTTTGGTTGGCAGATTGGGTCTTCTTTCGTTGTGCGGGAGACTCAAAAAAATTGGAGTTCTGTGTCAACTCTACCACATCATCAACATCGGAGCTACCATCATAGACAATGTCGGTAACATTCATCTTGCCAATCGAAACGCCGATTGCAACTGTCTTCTTGTCTTTGGCTGCTCTGGACAATCTATCGTAGCATTTCTGGATGTGAATCTCCCAGAAAGCTTGAGTAGTAACACATTTGATGACATCAGCTTGATTCGATTTTGGTTGGATAAATACACAAGACTTCTCACCAACAATAACAGCGCCCTTAGAATCTTTGTAGGTGGGTAAATCCAATGCATGGTTCATCAACAGGCGGCGGATATTCCCAAATCGATGTCGAGCTACTTCCATTGCGTCGTCGTCCATCTCTTGCAACTCTTCAGCCGTAAATGGAGGAGCCAAGGTGAATTTTTCGACCTCTTGGACAACCGCTCGTCTCTCACACTTATAGTCAGATTTTCCCACTTTGCTAGTAGGACCCATAAGAGAGAATACCACCGTCAAATCATGGCCAAAAGGCAGTTGTAGTGCATCTGCAGTTTGACCAATTTCTTCTTCATCTTGAGATGTAACCGTGGATTCGCCGTGGCTATTTCTGCGAGCTTTCTTGATGACTGGAGCTTTGTAGGCTACAACAGTGCACAGAAGATTGATAAACAATACCTCTGGTTCGTCCTGTTTATCCGTTTGGATGTAAGAACAACTTCGCAGTATGTGCCGCCAATCATGGTCGGAATGGATCGCTGTTGGCTGAAATGTTTTGAATAGACTCGAATCAAGATCATTTTGATGACGGTCAATGTAATTGCTCTCCTGTCGAATTTGATTGCTCCGAACAAAATAGGCACTCCCCAAACCAACATCCTCTACAACCCATTTGTTGCCTGAATGCTCTTGAACAGCAGCACCAAGAGCTTCTCGAACTATAGCCCAGTCAGAAGTGTAGGAAATATCCAAATCAAATTCATCGGGTTTGTCCCCGTCGATTGGATCAGAGTTGACGAGAGGAACATTTCTGCTGCTGAATTGTACCTTTGGACTTTTCTTGGTTGTATGCATGGACACTTGCAGTATGACCTTGGGATCTTCAATTTCAAACGATTCCTTGGTAAATTCAGGCTCATTGTCTATTGCTGAAGCTGCTGGGGATTTGTCACTGTCAATTGTTCCTCCTGCGGAAGATTGATCGTCAGTTGATTTACTGGTATTTTGCTGCTTGAGTTGTTTTGGGGTAGATATGGGATCTTCCTCGGACGAGCCACTCTCAGAAGAACTCGGAAACCCATTTCTGGCATTAGACTTCTTTGCTGTGCTGGCAGTGGAAGAACCACGTTTGTCGGTCCTAGGAGTTGCCACCTCATCCGGTGCTTTGGTTTGGGTCAATTCGGTGGATTTATTCTGGGGTTGTTCGCTATCAGATAATGAACTCAATGCCGCTGCTAAATCAGAGCTTTGAGATGACTTCCTTTTTGTGGACTGGCTGGAACGATGGTGAGTTTTTGGCGGCCGACCTGGAACAGAAACTCCATCGGCACGTTTAGCAGCAAGCTTTTCCCGTTGCTTTTCTTGTGCCTGAATTTCGAGTTGGCGAGCTTCTTCTGTTCGAGCATTTTCCATTGCTTTGGGGCTGAGCCTTCTTTGGCGAGAGCGTCGAGTACCACCTTGGCCATCATCACCAGTGCTTCCCCTGGAACGACCTTTGGGTGGCATGGTGGTGCAGTAAAATTGAAAGAAAATACAATTTCAGCTTTTGACTCTCTTTGGCTGTAATTGGCTCTTGCTGCTCCAACCTTCAGCTGCAGATGCCTTCTATGATAGTAGTGAAGTGATCCCTGGCTTGGTTGCCTTGGGAGAGACCTTGTCTGTGGCACAAATGCCAACGGTGTGAAACAATGGCAGAAAGAAGAGGCAAATCAAATGGAGTTTATTTCAGCTTTTGACTCTCTCTGGCTGCAATCGGCCCCTGCTGCTCCAGTCTTCAGTGCCAACTGTTGCTAGTAGTAGTAGTGAAGAGATCCCTGCCTTGGTTGCCTTGGCAGAAGGAGTGTATGTATCCAACAAGCCAAGTCAATGAAACAACAGTGGAATGGAGCGATTTTGGACTTGTGACGCTCCATGCACTTTTTTTTTTTAAGCGGCAAAGCTAATGGACAATCTTGCCGGGAATAACTGTACCGGTACTAGTATGGTACCGGTACGGTAGCTAGCTAGTAAAGATAGATGCATTGTAGTTTTTGCGTGGTTTGTATTGTTTGATTTGATATCTTTGTTCATTATTATTTACAGCAGTATGTTCTTTTTTACATGGCTTGGTACATGTAGTACCGTACCGTATTGACAGGATGGTATAAGGTATTTGGTAATAGGGAGGCAAGAAAGAGTTGGAGTGTTTGCTTCAGTTATAGAGCCAGAGGGATTGGTTCAAAGCAGTCAAATTCCAAGCAGTCAATGATAGGAGTAGGCTCGAATGGATTTTCAGTTTGATTCGAGACATTGTTTCCAAAAGCAGCCAGGAGGAGGGAGAGGGTGTCATCCGTGGCTTCATAGGTGTTGCTGCTGCTGTAGCTGCAGTAAGATTCCTGACTGGAGATGCTGCTTTCCGAGGGAGATACACACCGGGGAGGGACTTGAACTGTCATTGTCAGTTGCTGCTGCTGTTGTTGTTGGGCAATCTGCTGCATGCGTCTTTTGGACTTGAATTGTTTGGAAGATCGGTAAGAATGACTAAGAGCATTGCGCATGGCTTGAGCTGCCGTTTGTCGGGCCAATGCTTCTTCTACCAAAGTCCAGTGGCCCGTGGTAGGATCCTTACGGACAAATCCTGCAATGTCAGCAGCAGAGCCAATTTCGTGAATCAGACGCGTCAAAATGGCGCCTTTTTCAGATTTGCAAGGAGCTGCTTGGTAGTCAGCAGCAATGGCTTGGATCATCTTGTCAAACTTCTTATTGGCGCTGTGCTGCTTGACCACTCGACCACGCCCAATGATGATTGTGTGTTCAGTGGGAATAAAGTCAGCAGGAAGAACAATTGCAGTGTTGGAGAGAACCATCTTTGTGTTTTGTATGGTGATTGTGATTGTTTGTGTTTTGGTTTGAGAGTTGAAGAAATTGTGAGAATGTGAGAAGAGATGAATGAGTTAGTTGATGGATGGCTGATGGATCCTTCCTTTGACATCCACTTCGCTGATGGATGCTGCTTGCTGGTTTTGCTAGCTAGCTGGTTTGTCAGTACCGACTGTTTGGCCTGACTGGGTTCTTTATGTGTGCACGGGGAACTGCTTGTATGATCTTTCCAGCTTTCCAGCTCTTTCCACTGCTCTTTCTAAAAAGAATCACATCCAATCCACCTGGTAGAGACGGGATCATAAGCGTCAGACCCGAAACTGACGCATATTCGCTTGGCTGGACTTCCATGATGGGTCCGATAGCTGGTCCGGTTGGGTCCGATAGGCTCTTTGGGGCCTCGATCCTGCCGTAAGCCAGTGTGAGAAACCAAGAGCTCACAAGTTTTTGCTTTGCTTTGCTGTTCGACTTGCAAAAAGACGCACTTCCACAATTCATCGTACAAGTCTACTGGAAAGCTACTGAAAAGGCAAGTATTCAAAACTGCATACAGTACTTCGTTCGAGAACACAAGGAAGCAGACAGAATCATCAGTACAGCCAACGAAAGCAATACCGAGATTGAAAGGTTTACTTCCTACTATTTTACTGTAACAACAATAACACCCATCCATCCGTCATTGCAAAAGATGTCTTCCTATTGAAGTTACAGTGTATCGCCACAACTAACAGGTCCACAACAGCTACGGTACGTAAGATCTTTGTCTTCTCACTTTTTCAATCTTTTTCAAACTCCCCAGAGCTCTCATCAGGCTTGGTGCTGATGCTGCTACGTATCCAATTCAGACTCAGCCAACAAACAACCAATCAATCAACCAACCAACCAAGAATGCAAGCATGGATGCCACATTTCCACTACGATTACAATTTATTTGCGACACCAACGGAACATCAATCTTGAAGGATAACAAACTCTGGTCGTTTCTTTCCTGCAACCATCAATAAAAACATGGTTTTGCTTGAACGCTACATGTATGTACCCGAAACCTCCAAATCGATGAGTGGGAAAGTAAATCGGCATCCATGGGGAAAATGCACAAGGCACCAAGTTTGGAGAAGAAGCGAGCAAGCAATCTTGCTCTCTACTAGCTAGTATGCACTAGTGTCTAGCTAGCAGAAGGAATGCTGCTGTCAAGAATTTCACGTCGTGAAACTCATTTGCAAAGTGGAAGGAAGAATCTTGGAACAATCTCTGCACGATTTCTGGCGAAAACGAGAGCAAAGCTTCCAGCCAGGCCAGTGAGTACTGAGTGAAGGCGACAGCAACCTGATGAATAAAGTTTCATTTCTCCGACCGCCAGCCTCCTATCTTCTCAAGCAAGAGCAAGGCAACAGATGAATCTGAATCGCTGTCGACTCGGAGTGAAAATCAATAAAGCAAGCAAACATATATGTTGGCAAGATTCGATTCAAGCATCCTTGTGGTTGGCGGAAGACGATCAAGAAGGAGCAAAATCTGCACTCTGTCGTTCGACACTGTTGGCTGCAGCCCACCGGTACGGGTACTTTGTAGGCTTGAAGAAGAAACAGACAAATCAAATATGGCGGAAGCAAACCTGCTGCCTTGCCGCAAGGTAGAAACGCATGTATGATTGCTTGTTGGCTCTATTATCAGCCATGACATTCCAGATGCTACTCTGTACGGTGTCAGGAGAGGATACTCCTTCGCTTCGTTCACCAAACACTGTTGGGTTTTACTTCCTGACCAGGATGACCCTTTTTGACCCCTTGCTTTTGCCAATCATCATTGCTTCTTGGCTGGCAACTATTCAAAAGCAAGCCAACAAAAGAGCAGCAAAAAGTCTTCCGCTAGTATGCGTTGCATGTCCCTATGGCTGTGCACCCACAGTGAGTCACCAAACAAGAGGTTGCTCCACACCTGGGGCCTCGAACTAAGTGATGGTTGTTTCTTCTTGCCTGATCCACCGTCAGGTACCGGTACTCTCCCGGCATCAGGTATGACGGGAGCGAACAACTTGAAAGCAGCCACCGTACACACATGTACTACACTGACATCAGTGTAGTGCCAGCAATGCTGGGTGAGATTTAGCTTTGGTTTTTGCTGGCTTGCTGACATACGTATTGTTTGCTAGCTAGCTGCTGGTACATGTAGCTTGAGAGCCAGCTAGCCACCTCATCTCAGTGATAGGTGATAGATAGATGATAGATGAGCTGCGGATGCAGTGGGAATGGTTGATGGTGTTGGCAACTCTAGCTACTAGTGATTGATTGGGGTAAAAAGGCCTCGTCGAGGGGAACTTAAAGAACAGCGGGAGAACAGAGAAAGAAGACAAGGGTGGAAACTGGTACCGGTACGACTGTAGCCGGTGTTTGCTGAATGAAAGGGTAAGCGCTGTGCCGTACAGCGTACAGCAGCTATGATAAGCTGTTACCCATTTCCAATACCGGTACCGGACAACGTGTCTATTTTGACACGGCACTCATAAACCAGCAGAACAGGACTTGGCTAGTAGTACCGGTAGTTGGCTCCGGTGAGGTCCAAGAAATCTGTCCCATTGGATTTATCTCGGATAATAGCTCGAGCCAACATTTTAGTTTTGTTTTGGCTTCGACGAGGTCTCAAAACCAATCGTTTGGCGGTATGATCTAATTGGTTGGAAGCTTCGAACCGGAAGGAAGAAGGTGGATGGAAACTGGCTGATGACAGTTGAAAAGGCTTCAAAAGCAGCACCGGTACCAGGTACAGCACCCAGCGGTAACTGGTACTCGAGTACCACACAACGGTGGCAAGAACCGGTACCGGCAGCTCCACCGTCGACACCGAGTAAACCCAACAATCTCCAGTCTCCACACACCACGCATAGACTACGGTGAGAAAGAAGTCATGCATAGTTATTACACTAACCGGTACCGTTGTAGAAGCACCCATAGAGAAGTTTCTCCCGCAACAGCCCCAAAGGAGCCAAAGTCTCTTCTCACAATTTCAAAGTCGAGCCAAAGCCAAAGACTCACAAAACACAAAACGCAAAGCACTTCCTAAGAACCTTTCTACAAGCTACACTAGTATTCAACTATGCCTTCCACAGCTACCACTCGACGAGTTCACTTTGCCCCTTCGCCAGTCTCGGCAGTGTTCACCGTCCCCCGCAAAACCGAGAGTGAAGCGCTAACTCTCTTTTACCAGCCAGAAGACTGCGACCGCTTTCGTGCGGAAGCTCAGTTGGAAAAACTTGCCTTGGAGCTCAGCGTAGACTATCAGCACTCAGCCAACAGCCATGTTGCTGCCCCCGCGAGCAGCAACGTGGAGTCCTTGAATGCTCTTACTCAACTCGCCCGTCATCAGTTCAAAGCTTTGCCCGTGGCATTTGCCAGTCCTTCTTCTTGTCCTATCATGCCCAACAGTACACGTCGGTCCTCTTCCTCCTCTCGAACATCCGGCAATGCCAGGGGAACTGCCCGCATTGCCTAACTCTAGAAGGAGACATGCTTTACATGCATGTGTTTGCTTGCTTGCTTGTACTTGTCACATACGAGATGGCTGTGCATCACAATGGATGGTACAGCCAACGACACTGCTGCAACGCACCGAGCCAACCAACTGTGATATCAATTCTGCTTCCCTCGAGAGGGTCGAATCGAGCGCTCACGAATCGAGGAAAGCCATGCAGAAAGGCAGCACCGGAGAACGACAGAGGATCGAAAATTATTAGAGCCAGAGGGCCAGCCTCGCCCCGCCCGCATCCTGAACGTGATATCAACAGCCATTCGTCACCTGGTTGGGCATCGAATACGGCCCGGGGATTGTCAAACCTTTTTAATGAAGTGTAGCCTAGCAATGGTAACTCTCTGACTAAAGCAAACAGCATCCGAAAGGGATCGCAAAGCATTCACAATGTCATATCTATAATAGCCCTACCGCAGGGACATGCATAGCGAGCAATAACGGTAACCATCCATGCTAAAGCAATCCGCACGATCCTGGAAGCGCTAGCTAGAAGCAGCAGCCAGGAGCGAAGGAACAAGCTGAGGACCGAAACAAATGCCAAAAACCCTCTTCTAGGTCCTTGACGTACATGTACATGGCTGTACATGTAATATCCCGAGAGGGTGGATACTCGATCCGCTGATTTCTCTGGATTTGGTATTCAACGTGCATCCGGCAGAGCACCAGTCCCTGGCTACTCTTTTGTAGAACTAGAAATTTCGCGCGAAGGTTGATGGGATTGCACTGCCGTTCCAATCCAGTGTATCGTTGGACGCAACAAAAACAACCATCGTTATATACGGTAGCAGATATGGCCCCAAGTAATGTAATAGATGGATCAACACTGTGTCCCATCCAGTCAAGTCAAGCCAAGCCAAGTCAAGTCAAGTCAAGTCAGTCAATGGTAAAGGCAAAAGACTCCAACAAATCCTCACTGGTAGCTTCCACCGTTACCACATTACTAGGCCCAAGATGTCCTACCACACTTTGTAGATCTTGGAGCGCCTCATTGGCATTGGGATTGATGATATAATGGATTGGTTGTGCCATTTGATGATTACGTTTTGTGCTTTCCCAGACTTTTTGAAAGTGTGCACAGGATGCTTGTTGTTGAAAGGAAATGCCAATCCAAAGCACAGCGGATACATGCTGTAAATTATTATTATTGTCAAGGGGGTCGTGATCCCAAATCAAGTTTGGTTGTTCATCATTGTACATCAGGATACGAAACCGTAGTCGAGTAGTGTTGTCCTTGCAATGTGCGACGGGATACAGCTTACAATTCAGCTTTACAGCTTTACAATTAGCAGGCTTATTCTAGAAAATAATCAATAACTGCTCACTTATTTGGAAATACAAACTTTACATCTCTTAGATCGTTAGATTAATCAATGCACAATGGTATTGTCGCATGGTAGCATGCGAGGTTATGAGATGTTACTCATTCTATTTCTTATATGTCTATCCCTTATGGTTGTCAATGGAATGTGCTACTCCTTGATGCAGATTGCTCCTGTGAGTTTCTCTTGCTTCTTCATCGGTATCCTTCCCTTTATTGCAATCACTTCCCTTGGATTCGCTCGAAAGCAATTCCCTTGTTCTTATCCTTGCATCTAATCTCATGAGGATCTCCTTGTATCTGGTTCGTAAGCATCCCCATTCGTCTTTCTTTATCCTTAGATCGTAATCTCAATGAGGATCCTATATATCCAATACGATCAATCGATCGACGCAGGTACCACTACTGTACTGCTTCTGTTACTCTACTATCTTGTATGCTCTATCACCGGTAAAGTCAGGCCATCGTCAGCGCCTCCATGCTCAGCTTCAGCATGGATCGATCGATCGAAGTTAACAGAATTCATCGAAAAATGGGCTCCGACTGGATATGGAAGCCTCGGCTTGTGTGTCATGCCTTGAGTCATGCTTTATTACCTACTATTATGGATTCGAATCGCCTGAGCTTAAGTCTTTTCTTGAGTCATGCTTCGTGTCTCACTTTTTCATTAACTGACGGAGACGCACACTGATGACAACACGAGCGAGTTTGTTGTTGTTCTCAGGACTGGCATTGGTCGTTTCAATCCTCATTCAAACGACCAACTGCAAGCCAGCAACGGTCG